CATTCCACTGGTGCATCCAAAACAGCAGCACTGTGGCAGAAGCCAGGTTGTTAGATGTGAAGGAAGTCAAGCTAGTTTTACATTTCATAGTGAAACTCAGCACTGAAATACCGAAATAGTACAAGCATAAACACAGTTTGTATTCATATAGGTGAATAAAGAAGTGTGCAGTCCATAAAACATATGGTAATATGTTTTATGCAAAACTGCATAGTATATGCAGTTTTGAAGGCCTGCTCCAACAGCCAAGAAAAAAAATGAGGGACAATTTTTCTTATCACATCCTATTATGTTAATTTCTATTTTTTTTTTTTTAAACATTTTTTTTAAACTTAGTACCCTGAAGCCTGGAGTGGCCATGTAGGGAAGTAGCTAACGGGCAAAGCTTGAAGGATAAATGAAGCACTGAATTGCATCTATTTAAAGTGCTTCCATTTCACCAAGAAGGAAGAGCCTAACTCTCCTAAAGCAGATAGGCCGGGTAATCCATAAGCCCCTCATCAGGCACGATGATCTGCAGCGAAGCTGACAGCTTTCTACGTCAGCCCACCCTGCTTTGGGCTTTCTTCCTGTCATACGGATTGCTCCAAGCTAATGTCTTGCAGGACGTGGCAGTTTCCTAACAGCCACGGAGCTCTGTGAGCAACACAAGTGACCAGGCTGGGCATATAAGGTGCTGATAGGAGGCTCCTAATTCTGTATTAGCCACTTTAAGGGAGCTGGTGGCCACTGCGTGCACAGGAAGCTGCAGGTACTCAGCCCCCCTAACCAACAGATATCTGGTTATGGGGCCCGGCCTTAATCACACAGATCACCAAAGGTGCTTAAGGCTTTCGGCTCCCTGCGCAACAGCCTTGTAATCGGTCTGAAATTTTGACCTCTGAGCTTGACACTGGTGCTGCTTATGCTGTGATGTTAATGCCACGTGCAGGTATAACTGCAAATATGTAAGGATGAATATTGTCTCCTTTTAAGGATGGATACTGGCCCTGTCATGTTTTAAACACTGCAGACTGACCAAAACAACTCTTGGTTCATATGACTTTTTTCCCCTTGAGTCTTAGGCAAACACGTGCGTTTTCACTGACAGCAAGAACTGCAGGACAAAACCAGAAGTCTTTAGCAAAGTGCGAGTGCCTTGCAGAGCAGCTACAGGGCATCGTGCCCAGGGCTGAAGTATCCCAACTTACCTGGGAAAACCGTACAAATGCATGGTCAGCTTCACACGTGGAGCCTCTGCCCAGCACTGCTCATCACCCTGGGCAGCTTATCCCAAGCACACCGAATTTCCTGGAAAGATCCACATGATAGGGATGAGGTTTGGATGAGGGTGCTCAGGAATCTGCTGCTCTTGCTAATGCGCAGGGCCCCATATAGTGTGCTCTCTCCATTCTGCTATACTGGAACCTTTCTGCTTCTTATAGCTGGGTGAATGACACCAAGCGGAGTTAAGTCCTAATCAGGATCTTGCCCTAAGGTCCCTGTGGGAGCAAGGCTTGAAAAGAGCTTAAAATAGAAACTGAGCATTGCACTCCCAGATCAGACAGGCTTTAATGGGAACAGGGTCCTCTGGATCCAATAATCCACATATTTCTACTTCTTTATCTGCTGCTCCACTATTCCACTATGGACAAAGCCCAGAGGAAATGAAAACAAAAACGTGTATTAAGAAGCATATTCACATTAGAAAATGAAAATTAGAAAGTGATACTGTTAGTGTTCTTACTGTATCATTCTACAAGTACTTTTGAAAAACATATATTAATAGCACATTATGTTATGGTATTGTGTGCACCCTATGACTGTGTTAAGATACCAATCCAAAAATTTTGTTTTTAAACCCAGTTTCCCCTCACACGCTGCAGCTCTCAGGCTATTCCGCACTGGCCCCCGGGGACTAACAGCATGTTGCTGGTTTACAGCCTTAGCTCAACTCAAGTATCAAACAGCATTTTCAGTGGGATTTGCACATATGGAAACAGCAGAATTGTAGCTGGAGCTTGTTATGTTTCCATAAAATGCTCCTCGTGTTCACTTAGTGGGCTGGGAGGAACAATTTTTACCTTAGGAAGAAAATCAATCTGTTTCATCCTTTACAAACACATCCTCCCTTTTACATTCTGATTAACTCTTTGTTCTCCTCCCTTCTGTAACTATAAAGATAAAATTTTTGTATTTACAATGATATAACGAGAGCAATAAAGCAGAATAAGTCATCATTAGAAGCACACAGGTACAGTGCAAGCTTCCTGAGCTTCCTCAAAAACTCATTATGCAATGAGGAAAGAGTAAAATTGTTTGCAGCTTTGGGAAGCAAAACTATTCTACAAAGGCCAAAGGCACAAAATATTTGTTAGTAGTGAGGATTCTCTCATGCAGGATAAAAAGCAAATATTTTATTAGTAAAATGGGTCTGTGGCCTAATCAGCAGAAGGTGAGCAGTGGTCATATGAATGACTACTTTAAAATACAATAGATATGAAATAGCACCTTCAAGCACATACTTAAGACTGAGGGGAGAAGGTGTTGATTTGTAATGCATACATCATGTATGACATCACCACACGCATTACAAACCAAAGTCTAAACAGTTTCCTCCCTATTACTCTGTTTCAGAAAAAGGTGCAAGGAACAACTTTCAGTTAGCAAAAACAGTGATTAAAGTTTATGAACTCTCCTCAATGAGCAAGTTCTCTTCAGAGGGAACACTACAAAGTAAGAGAAATTACATCAGTAGCAATGAAGTTGGTGTCCTGAAAGCTGCATATTCCTGGAAATGGTTTTAGTTGTGCTGCTTCTTGGACACGCTAAATTTCAGCACACCTGCAAAGCAAGGGTGCCGGTAACGTTAGATCTTGGGCATGCTGTGTTGGGAAGAGCTCATCCCAGTGCTCTGTGTGACTCGCCTTCCCGCCTCGCTGTCGCATGTGCTCCGAAAGCTGCACGCTAATGGCAGGCACGTGTGCACACGGAGGCACTCCCAGAGCACACTCCACAGTGGGTGGCACCCACATCTCCCCAGACATTAGGAACCCATGAGAAATTTGGTCCCTGATGGCCTGGACACGTTTGAGCCCAAAGCTCAAGCCCAGCTGCACCTTGGCCATGGTGCCTTGCTCCAAGGCACGGGACGCCGCAGCAGAGCGGCTCCCCTTGCAGGGACACGTTTGAGCCCGTCCCCAGGGCTATAACCGGGAAACACGTGGCGTGGCCGGGGCCTCCCACCGTGCCGAGGCAGGAGCTGTAGATCCTGACGCCTCCAGCCAGGGGGGCAGGCAGAGCCGCAGGGCTGCCCGAGTCGGCAGCGGCGCCCGGCTCCCACTCGCAGCTTCCCTCCCCACACAGGGCTCTGCCCCCCAGGGCTACTGCCTCATGCCCCACTTGGGGAGCAGCAGGGGCCCCATCTGTGGGGCAGCTCTGATTCAAGCCACCTGCCGAGGCTCACCAGCCACAACAGTGCACAGGGTGTGTTGTGAGGAGAGCTTTCGTTGGTTATGCAATCACTTCTCCCCAGCATTTCACCTAAAACATGGTCCACGTTCTCTGGCTCCGAGCCACCTAATTACTCCTTTTCACATCCTGTTTCTTTTTGCTTTTCAGGGCTAAAAGCTAGCGGAGAGCAAAGAATACACACAAAGGATTTAACTTTCTTTCTCCTCTCTCAGCATCAGCAGCCAGACCATATTTTGCAGATATTAAGTCATGACAACTTAGTAGGCTTTAATCCAACAGTCCCCGCTAACATGGCAGAGATTCAGGCTTGTGTACGGAAGGTGGAATTAGCCTAATCAGTTTCAAAATCAACTGAATAAATGCAGCTTTACAGAGAGAATTACTACTAAAGGGCATTTTTCATCATCTGCTTTTCTTCCAAGCTAATTCAGAGCACTTCCTAGAAGCTTTCATCTTGACTCACCATAAATCCTTCTGCAAAGCAACAGTCACTAAGCAGCAGCTCAAACACACACACACACAGAAGCAGGTGATTTGCACCTTGCTCGGCTGCTATTGCACCTTACCCCTTGATGCTGGCATGTCAGTAGCGGAGGAGGTGAATGGGCCATTTCCGCCTGTACCTACACACCACAAAGGGAATGTCACTCAAGCCTAACTCACCATCAGCTCTTAAATCTGGCACTCCTTACATAACATCCTAATATCCACTCCCAGACAGGACTTTCTACCACTTAGCTGCTAAAACTAAACAGTGGCCCTCACTACATGGTGTCTGCCTTAAGACTGCCATGGAAAGGGGTACTTTAGCACACTGGAATTTAGCACACAGTTTTTGACTGAAAATGCTTCGAAGGTTTAACATGAGACAACTCACAGACTCATTGCAGCACAGCTCTGGTGCAGGCAGACATGTAGATGCCTATCAGCAGCACAGCAAAAATGAATCAGAAGCACTAGTACTATATTCCCCACTGCCAGTATATCTTCCTGAAACAGAAAGCTGATCTGCTCAAGAGAGCAAGAGACATCCCAAAACATGTGCAGGGACTTTCAGGAAAGAGGCTAGAGCAGCAGAGGCTGTTCCTGTGGTCGGGGCTGCTGCTCTGTCGTGCTCTGGCACTGCCCAGCTCCCCTTACCTGCTGAGCTCTTTACACAGATGAACTTGTCCTCTTCCCCGAGCACAGCAGTCCTGCTGTGCTCCTCAAAAGCTCTAGGAGGAAAGACAGGAAGACGGGTGTATCCCACTGCTGTGGGATCTGTACAAGTAATGAAGAGCTCAGGCAATTCCTGAAAATAAATATGCTTACAGAGCTTCAGGTCCTCATTCAGAGGCAGCAGAGGAGAAACTGAAAATAATCACTACACATTTCCTTGGAAAGTTTTTGGTTTTCATGAGGTGATGAGAAGCTCTACAGTCACAACTGTGATTCCCACCTGTATCTGTACTTACCAGCTGTGGGAAGTGCCCTAGTGCACTGTACAGAGCTGGAAGCTTATGCTTTTTCATCCTGCTCTTTTCCCTTTTGAACTTGCAGCATCTCCCACTCCAGTTGCCAAAATGGAAGAAAACAGAAACTCCAGTTTGGAAGAGGATTTTGAAGGACAGGCTACACACACAGGCAAGGAAACTTTTTAACCTCCTAAATAAAGCTTAGCCCTCTCTGCTCACTGTGGATTTCATGTACATTCCCTGGGCTGCTTTGCATGGGGATGTATGCCTATATACTTTCTCAAATGGCCACAGTCCCCCTCTGTGCTCCAACTGCTCCTTTTCCTTGTCCTGTAAGGACAGCCCCACAAATAAGGGTCCTTGGGGTTCCCAGACCAGCACTGCTGTCCTCAGCCAAGATACTCTTCTAGGACCCAACCAGAGGACACTACAACCACACTTCAGCTTCTGAGTAGTTCTGGAAATGCAGCTACTGTGCAGCTAACCATTATCACCATGCCAAGAATTCCACACTAATTCCCCTCTCGGGCTCTTGTTTGCCAAAGTCGAGTTCACCCAACATTTCCACCCACAGGTGTGGTATCAGCTGCCTCACCTGCAACCACCACCACACACCATGGAAATTTCATGTAAAACAGACTCTCAGCAACTGCTAGCACTACCCCCTCATGGCCCACAGAAGTTTCTACACTTCAGCCTTTTCTGAACTTTCCATAAAACTAAGTTTCACCTCTGAAAACAGAGTTTTTCATGGATTTGAAATATCACAAGTGGAGACTGAAATGTTTATACAAGTGGCATTTTGAACTGTAAAAAAACTATATAGTCAATGAACTTGGAGGAATGAGGTCTATATTATAAGCAAAAACATCAGTAAGCACTGCTTAAAAGACTAGCCCTTTAGTGGAACAGTGAGGGTTACAAGCAGAACAACAGATCTTGAACGCCCTTTATTCTTAGTTTTACCATGACAGACTCTGTATTCAGAGATGTTCTCTATAGGGAACTGCATATATACTTGTAAGAAACAGTGGTTATGGTCAACAAGCCAATTTAACAAGTTCCCATGTCCTCATCCTTGTTGACTATTTGTGCAGTTCAGATTTTTATTGGAGTATGAGATGAACTAGACCACTAAAAACCCTGAGGTCTTTAAAAAATAAAATAGAATAAAAGCTTAAGTAAAACACCGGTTCCAAAGCTCCCCTTCTCCAGCACTCCTGGAGGGTGCCCTGAAAGGGTCAAACAAGTGACAGGCTTGCTGTTGCACCAGTTTCTCATCTAACTTGTCTCTTAGGGCCCAAAGGTGTGATCAATGACTGGAGAAAGTTTAAATTAGAAAGTGAAGATAGAGACTCCTTATCCTTGAGCAAGAAAGAAATTCTTAGACAAATGTCTTCACCGCACAAATCCTTCAGCAAAGATGATAAAGATACCAGAGAGAGATTCTCCCGTAAGGTAAGAACAGAATACATATGGTTTTTATATGAAATGCAGTAACTTTTGAATATGCCAGACTATTCCTTTGCAATTTAGCAGAATTCCCATAACAGCGATGGAATAAATGAGCATTATTGGAATCATATCATAAATATAAAGCAACCTCTCAAGCACAGATTATATTACTTGCTCCAAGTAGTATGCAGCTGCAAAAGCCTTGTCATTGACGAATAGAATATGGAGATCAAAGCATTGCTTACCACAAGAGCAGCTACATCCCACCTGAAACACACAACCAATGGTCTCTATATATCTACACCTTCTCCTGGCAGAATCCATCTCCTGTAAAATAAGCAGTGTGTTTTAAAGAATACGCATCACAAGTAATGAGTGTTGGGTCTTCTCCCACCCAATACTCTCACTTTAGTTAAGATAATCAAAATAAACACACACTTGCTGGTCTTAAAAGATAGCTAGTCAGAATAGAGCTCTACTATGATAATGGCCAGGATTACAAAAACAGGGGGAAGGAATTAAATTCTAATCTCATGACAGTTACTGGAAACGCTGCCACCAGCTCTGTAGGAACCAGTAATTTTTGCCAAATACGGCATCAATTTGACATCCAGGTGTTGAAAAAGACAAAATCTTCACTCTTGTCTCTTGAAGAAACCTTAGGAACATTATAGGAAGTTACTCTCCTGGCTTAATGCATATTGCATACGTATTGTTTGCTAGACACCAGCTTGTTCTCTTTGATGTCAATAGATGACCACTTATTCCTATATGAAAATAACACACTCTTAATATCCACAGATGAGTATGCAGGAGTATGAACTAATCCAGGATGAGAAAGAAGATGAAAGCTGCCTACAGAAATACCGCAAGCGCTGCATGCAGGACATGCACCAGAGGCTGAGCTTTGGGCCCAAGTACGGCTACTTGTGCGAGCTGCAGAACGGAGAGCAGTTCCTGGAGGCCGTCGAGAAGGAGCACAAAAGCACCACCGTCATCGTCCACATCTACGAAGACGGCATCAAGGGCTGCGAGGCGCTGAACAGCAGCCTGACCTGCCTGGCTGCCGAGTACTCCACGGTGAAGTTCTGCAAGATCAAGGCGTCGAGCACGGGCGCCGGGGAGCGCTTCTCCAGCGACGTGCTCCCCACGCTGCTCGTCTACAAGGGCGGCGAGCTGCTCAGCAACTTCATCAGCGTTTCCGAACAGTTCGGCGAGGAGTTTTTTGCCGTGGATGTGGAGGCTTTCCTAAATGAGTATGGGCTGCTGCCAGAGAGGGAGCTGCCAGCCCTGGAAAACGGCAACATGGATGAGCAGGATGTTGAATAAGTAGAGGCCCACAGTCCTCACCGCCTCCCATCTCTCCTGGGCGCTGTAATCCACCTCAGTGAAACCCATCTCATTTAGAGAAGGCTGTCTTCGCTTACATAACTTATTTGTAAGATACATATATATATTTCCTAACTGTTAGTACATGAATTTTAGTTAGGACACATACAAGAATCCTGTACATACATACTTTTATGCAAAACACAAGTAGTGGGATGAACAGGGGACAATAATGGTTTTCCTAAGAAACTAGGAACTAAAACTAAAGATTGATGTCCCACAAGTGTCCACTAAGCACAGAAACCTGATCTCAGCAGCAATAGAACAGATCCATCCCTCTGCATACTCGCACACAAAAATAATTTCCATATTGCAGAACTATTCCATGCTATTAGATCATGAGAAGACTCTCAACTGTACAGAGTAGATTTGTTCCTACTGACATCAGTAGAAAAAGATGAATCCAGCAGCACTAAGAACAAAGAAATAGTCCGAGATCTTTGCATTATATCCTATACACTAGGTATTTAGGACATTCATTATGTTTCTGCGCTTAACTTTCAATAAGAAAGTATCAACTCAGCTCACTGCTTTATCAAGTTATTCATCCAAGCAGCTAACACAGACTAATTCTCAGCTAATTTCAGTTTATTGCTGCTCCATGTTTTTGAACCATAGTATTTAAAATATTTGCAAGATACTGAAAAAAGTATATTGTACTTATGTGATAACAATGAATAAAGTTTAAAATCCTGGAAAAAAAAAGCTTCTATTAGAAGTGTGAAATGTATTGCTAATATATAACCTTAAAGACACCTCATACATACAGCCTTAAAAATCATGTAAGAACTCATTAGACATTTACTAAACTCAAGGTTTTACTTGCAGCAAGGAGGAGGCTGTTGAAAAATACAGCTAAAAATGTATTTGAGAGGCAGGCACCCAGTGCATTCATAACAGACACTGCATTTCCTCACCTGCAGAGAGCAAACTCCAAGAATGAGAATATTCAACCACCTCAACTGTTATACACAGGTAATAACTCAAAGATTTCTCATGTGCACATTCACAAAGCTGGAAGCTAAGTTTTACTCTGTAGGAACAAGTATGAATCTGGTAGATGTTATCAGCAAAAGCCTGTGTGGCTGAGATTATGAAACCTTCAAGACTTTTTTCTGTAGCCATCTAATTCACCTATCAGTTTCTATGAGCAATTTGCTGGCGTCATTTTTACTCGCTTCAGTGAGAGGTTTCACGTTTGCTTCAGACCAGAATCCAACCACATCAGTGCCACCACGTGAAACTCACCACGGAGCAGTGGGAATTCTGAGTTGAGCCACCAGCCTTGAAGAATTCCTGCTGTAGTAACATAACCCTTCCCCCAGAACCCTTGGGCACATGCAAAGTGGGTTCTTTATTACTCTTTTAAACACTTCCCCCCAAGCACACTTTTAAACCCTATGGAAATGATTTCTCATTTCAGTTGCCACTGTCGGTAACTGAAAATTAACCTGCAGAAGATTCCTTTAAGACACAGGAAATGCTCTTTCTCGCCCTCTGGACTAGCACGATGCCTACCCCAGGGCAATGCCAACTCCTGGGTTAAAACACGCATCTCAGCTGAGACTTGGACTTCTCCCACCCTTCAAGTGAAGAATTTCACTTTCACAGATCCTTAGTACCTAGTTAGTGCTAAGGAAGAGAATTCACTTGACAGTCTACTGCAAGCAGCATAAAGAAAAGCAGATGAGCTACTATAAGTTGGCAATACTCTATATAATTATACGTAGAATATACACCTTTGCTATACATACATGCAATACTATTTCCAAGCAAGCTCTAATTTTACACCACAGCTGGCAATCAAATCAAAGGGCTAAGGATAGTGTTTCATGACAAAGCAAGCTCTTGAATCAAATACAGTTTCTCTGCATGGCATAACAGTTATTGCCACAGTGATGCACTGCACTTCCCCCTCTAGAGCTATATTTTGAGTAACATGCAACTCACTAAAGCACACATACCTCCAAAAACATACATTAGCAAAGATGCATGCACAGACGTGGAACATTTTGAAATTGTTTCTTTTCACAGAGGAGTTCAGCTGTTTGAAGGAAAGAACTAAAAACCACATTCCAGATGCAGCCACTGGCTTTGGTTTCTCCCACGATGCTGCAAACAGGAGCTTCAGGCAAGTAAAGCTGACTTGTGAGGCAACTAGTAAGAGCTTAAGCGAGAATCAGGGATAGCTGAAGTTTAAGGAGTTTCCTGTTATTGCTGAGAAGAGTGAACATCACACTTTAAGCTCATATAGAACAATATAAATACTAATTTAGCCACGAAGCACATCAGTCAAGAAAACACCAAGTGGATACAAAATTAAAACATGCTTCCTCAAAGCAGAGGGAAGCTTGTACCAAAACAAGGCCAATAACCAGGTTTTCTTGAAAACGGGTTAGCAAAAAGCCAGATAGATGCACACGTTCAAAAGAATAAGGCAGAAGACTGATTTTTTTTTTTTTTTTTTTTTTTTCCTTCAATTACTCCTCACCATCCTCATCATTCTTCACATCTAACAGAGACTCCAGTGGAATAAGCTTTAAACCAAATGGACTTGGAAGTATATTAGGAAATTAATCTTATTTTCTGGATAAGATTAAACTCAAATTCCTCAAGTCAACTGCTTTTGCAAAGTGCCATTTTGCCTATTGATTCTATCCATTTGCATGGAAAACAACATGCACCTGGAAAATGCAGCAGCTGAGGGACTTACCTGAAAACAATTTCTCCACAGTAGCCTTCATTTTCCTGGGAAGCTCTACTTGAGCAATAGCAAATACAAGCAATCCACACTGTTCCAAAATAATCACAGTACTAAAAGCAGAGTTGTACAGAATGTGTGTAAAAAATACACAGACAACAGAATAGTATTTAAAAGACATCATCCTCAGAGGTGTCTTTTATTAGAAGCATTCCAATACATAAGTGATTATGCTGTAGAATTTAAGGGTTTGTATTTGAGTGTTCCAGTGCACTTACACCAAAAATATGAATCCTAGAATTTAGAATTATATTCTACTATAATTCAGATCCAAACAGCTCATTTCATACATGAAAATCTTTGTTAACTTAGCAGAACACTTCTCACCTTCCTCACTCTTCCTTGCAAGGGGACAACAATGTTACCTCTTAACATCTGTTTCCATTATGAGATATTCTCCTGGATATGTTGTTTATATTCTAAATATTCTGCTTAACAGTTTCGAAGACTTGCAATAATGCTAAATAATCTATTGGAACTGCCTTTGTATAGCTGTTGCTCAAATACTGGATATCTTAAGAGAAAGATGATGATTGAACCAGGAGGTGAACAGAGAAATTCTTATCAGAAGTTCATCTGAGTAAAGTTAACATATCACCAACTTCCGGGTTCTGCAGGTCTTAAACAAAAGTTTTTACAGTTTGAACTAGTTTAAGAGAAAACTAAAACTGCTAGAAATCTGTGTACTTATTATGCCAGTTAACCAATATTTGCTTAAGCAATTTGAGGTCCATTTTCTCCCAATGAACTTCAATGAGAAGAGATTCCTGCTAGCTAAATTAACAATCCAGCAAATAAATCCCTGAAGCAAGAACTGCCACACTAAGTAACTCCACTACTACTATCTTTCACACTGTACTGTGAAAAACAGGAGTATTACATTATTTTACTGTGTGAGGAAGAAAGTGTAAGTTCTATCTTGATATAAGGGACTTTATTGGAATATGATACTATTTTACCATCATTTGCACAAATAAGGAGAGTTAACTTCTTGTAAACTTGATTCACCTATCATAACTGCATGCTGGAACAAGATAACTGGATGTATCATTATAATTTATATTGCACACCTAACTGGTGATATTTAGGCATCAATTCTTAATTACTAGGACATCAAACCCAGATGCGTCCACCTTGTATAAGCGTGATTACCGGTCAATGTTTCCATGAGGCTCCTTTTGCTTGAGTTTAGTCACTGAAGTAGTTAAAAGAGAAGATTGATGCAAAGACTGCAACTGCAGCTGCTATTACCACACCTAGAAATGACAAAGGAAATGCATTCAGTGAGTGGCAAGGGCAGCACAGTCATCCCTGGCTAGGGTGTGGAGGGCAGGGTCAATGAAATGCAGCAACAGAAATAATAAGAGCCACCCCAAAAAGCCGTGCACCACTGTTAAGCCTAAACCTAAAGCTATGATGCAGGATAATTGCATTATATAAGCTCCACGGGAAATTTCCAATGGGAGTATGATGCTTCCAAAGTCCAGGGGACTACATTCTTCAGGAACAACTTGGCAAAGCCATGGCCCACAAAGTAACAGCACTGACTCCACACCAGTGCTTAATTCCACAAGGCAAGACTAGTAGAAATAACTAACCAACTTCAAACAGAAACAAGATTGATGGGTTTTGGGGTTGTACTACACCTACTTCTTAGGCCTCTGAATTAGTCTTCATAGCTTAACACCCACTTTTCTATTAACAAGCCTGTTAGTGATGATGTTGAGTACACAATATTGGGGAAAAAGCAAAATAGACTGATGATTCAAGGCAAAATGCTGCTACATCCAAAATGGACTCATTTAGTATTATTTCTCATTATTCTTCTAGTCACCATGCTTTGCTTTTACGAATAATCAAACGGCAAAATGTTGCTGCTTTGTTGAATACAGAAAAACTAGAAGTACATTATTGGTACTGTCTTTCAATAAGACAAGACAGCCAAGGCTCAGAGTACTGTGCCAAGAGCAGAGAAGTGCATGAGACCTGAACCAGCCAGCATCAAGAAGCTGCGCGTGAGGAACATTTTGCCACTGCTCTCCCCTAGATTGCTGAGGCCAATACTCAGGCACATATGCATGGTAAGCTTCAGAAGTTAACGACTCCCTAACCAATTTAAGGATGCCTGTTGGTTGGAGCAATTCAACCATGCTCCTTCTCCTTGTGCAGGGCAACAGGGCTGGTGGTTCCTCAAAGGCAAGCAAGTTGCATAAGATGACTGGTTTTGTCCAAACTTTAGCTGTGGTTCTGATTTTCCAGGAAAGACTCTGTCTGTGTAACTCAAGCAGGAGCACATTCTAGAAATAACCTATTGAGTGAAATCACAAATAGCAAAGCTTAAGATTTTGCATTAACCCCATAAAAACGCGGTGAGAATGAACGGTGCTGAAAAACCACACTGTAATTCCTGGATTGCCATAGCAGAATCAGGAAGGTAACATACCCATATTTTGTTGAAGTTTCAACAGCAGTGTTGTTTTTGTCAATTGTTTTTGTTGTGTGTCATCTGTGTTGTCAGTAGCTGGACAAATATCAACTGCATGGAGATCAAGTGAACAAATAAACACTGGGTGAAAAGCTAACATTTGCATTTTACAGTTGAATTCATGCAAAAGAAAACGAAATGCTCATGAACTTTATAAAGCATATACATGGCAGAAAGATTTCTATCACAGTAGCAATGGCACAGCAGCAACAACATGATATAAAGTTATTCTACATAACACAGAGAGAGAAAACACACACACTCAGCAAGGAAGGAGTCGCACTTTCAAACTCATTTCTCTGCACCCTGTCCCTAATTACATAGCCAATGCCCTTCACATAACCTGGGCAGACTCAGACACTTCAGAAAGGGAACCAAAATTAACCATTAAGTAACTTCCAAGATGGAAGTTTTATTTCCAAAGCCAAATCTATCCAGGAGTGCAAGCTACATGGAACTATCACTGCCACTAAAAGAGCAAGTCCCATCTCCCTGCCCTCATAGTCACAAGGGCTATATTAAGATACTTTATATATACACATTTTCAAGACAGAAAGCGAGGCTCCATTCCTCTTTTGAAATGACTACTAAATTCCTAGAATACTCTGCCAGAATGTAAGAGAGCTTCACCATTCCTAGGCTGATGGGATTGAAAGCTGTATCTTTTGCCTTTCTCAAGATTTTTCTAATCACTTGGCTATAGCCAGGTTGTTGGAGGGGGCAAGAGAGAAAAAGGGATTATTCTTAAATCCTCTAGCTGAACTTGTTCCTATTTGCTCCTCACAGAGCAAGCATACTTCGGATTATGCAGTTTAGTGGTGAGGCCACTTGGTGGTGGAGGGTCAAAGGTCTTAGATTTCCACTTATGTTCTTAGAGCAGCCCATTATAGCTTCACCTCTCAGAAGTTCTGTTTACAGCTAAGTCATTTCTACGGCAGCTCTATTCTGGAGAAGCAAAAAGTGAAATTAAGTGGGTTACTGCACCGAGAGATGCATTTCCTTGGAAAGGACGGACTGGGCATGCCGAGACACACAGAACTGCCTGCTGGACTCTTCCGGTTCAGAAAATGGAGACAACACCCACAGCAGTACCATATCTAAAGATGTAGAAGTCTTTGGAAAATCGATTTGATAAAAATGTGGGGTTGTCAACCACCTAGAGATTACAAATTACATAGCTGAGTAATACAAGGCACATCCCTCATATGATTCATACAAAAATGATTCAGACAAGTACTTTCTCTATCATACTATGAGCCATGGGGAGAACATATAATCTAGATTTGTGATCAGAGAGGTGGTGTCTGTCATCTTAGATGAGTCATATGTATGGCAGCTTTAAAAATTTCCAAAGTCAAAAACCCAACTGTCCAAATTGAAATTTTGGGAGAGGGAGATTCCTATTCTAAGAACAGAGTTTTGAGGTCTTCCAGAAGGTTGCATGCACACATATAATAAAAACAAGGACATAAAAACCGAATGCAAGGGATGTTTTTGTTTGAGACAAACACTCTCATACCTCCAAGGCTTACATATCCACAATAAGTCTCTTTTATTAGTGGGTTTTTGTCAAAAACACACCCACGTCCCCTTACCTAGCTAAAAGAGCTGAAATATGCAACTGGAACACAGTACACAAGGAACCAAAGTTTCCAACAAAAGTTTTCAATTCTCTACAACAGAATCTTTCTTTTTGAAAAGTCGACCATCTTTCTTCTGTCAACTCTGAAGACCAAACCAAGCCAGTTTCTTTATATTTTAGTTTTGAGGTGGAAGTAGGGCAGCTTGTGTCATGTCCTTATACACTTTTGAAGTTTTGGAGCAAAAGTTGTACTCCTTATGAGGTAAAATGCAAAGCTATGTGTCAAGGCAGCAACGTTCAATTGTTTTCAGAAAGCAAAACCTTTCTCTCCCTCAACTCAGCCAAAAGATAGATATCCAAAGACACATACGTCATTAGGTTACAGAAGACCTATATTTAGCATAACTATAGAATAAATAAGTTTTACAGTAAGACAAGTTTCTAAATCCAGACACTTTCTACTATGAATTAAATCAATCCTTAAGCTTCATTAATTCTTGAAGTTGCTAACAAAGATGGGCAAGAGATTACCATTACTGAAATCTGATTTATACTCATCTACTCAGTTTATTTCAGGCCTACCACCGACCCAAGGGATTTAGTAAATCCAATCATAAAAGGAGTGCTTTCAATTGCCTGAACTAAAGCACTAAAAACCTTGAAACTCCACTCAAAGCTATTTACATCTTTTAATCATAATAGGCCAGTTTTGACTTTCTGTTTTCCTGTGAGTTGCTTTTAAAGCACAATCCAATAGTGACCTCCCTGGGAAGCTGAAAGAGGAATTACGAGAGCAGAGAGACAGCAGCAGTGTATCCTAAACACAACTGAAAAAGAGCACTTCATGTTGCACACATTTTGACTAGCACTTCATGTTTGGAATAGAAGCTGCTTTGAAAAGATTTGATGACTGGAACAAAGGTTTGTTTATTTTCTTTCAAGTGCTTAGACAGTATCAAAGTGACGCTACTGGAAAAAGACTGCTCAAATTTTTGCATTTTATACTTTCTTATTTCAAGGATGGACACACAAATTCACTAGCTCTTTTGAATCATTACTGAATACTAAATACTGTTAAAGATACTTCTACGGTTTCAGAAAGAGGCGATACTTATTAGAATAATGCATTTCCACGAGAGAAAGGCCAAACTACCATTAAACCATACAATCACGGTTCCAGCAATGCTCAGATATTTCATATTAATAAATACAAACTACTAAATTAAAGCTTTCTTTACAGCGCAGAGTGCATTCTGCACAGTTAAAGAGCCTAACTTCTAGAATGACTATCAGCATTAATAAAAGTGAAGAGGTACTTTAAGTCACAAGTTAATAATTCCCTAAGAATAATTACCAGAAGCAAACAGCACTGAGCTCATAGCATGTTAGCAGCATCATTGTTAGAATTCGCTCCAGGGAGAAACTTCTTGGTGCAAGGCCAAGCACTTTTTTTTCCTTCTTCTTTCCTCCCCTGAAATCCTCTTAGGATATTCTTACCTTTCCCCTTTTAGGCATTACTTTATATAAAAAGCTTAAAATAACCCCTCCATACCCAGTTTTATAGGCAGGAAGTTACAAAAATATACAAACTCATTTTGTGAGCTACCTGGACATCCCACACGTGCCCGTGGCATCAAGTCTTGTGACGAGTTACTGTTAGGTCGTGGCACGCTCTCCTCCTACCCAACGTTATTCATATTTACATAAGCTACAAAGCTGTTAACTGCATCACTTCTCCCCAAGCACATCTTCAATGCCACGGCAATATTAATTTACTTCCGTATGTGATACTAATTCCTTAAAGCAGAGTAATACTTAGCCTTAAGAATATTACGGTTATCCTTAAATTATAGGACATAAACTCTTATGGCTAACCAATAAAATGATGGTTAGTTCTGAAACTGAACAACTCAAGAAACTTCCCAAATAAACAAGAGGGTTAGGTAAAATATTATTAATCAGTCTATCTTACACAGCAAGCCTACAGTAAGAATTTCCATCTTTCCCTCCTCAAATACCAACATCAAATAGTGTTTGTTGTTCTTATCTGATAAGGTATGTGTGGGGGGTTGTACTTACGATATCAAATAGTAGCCCTCAAATCACAGTCATTTAGATTGGGGGGGGGAGGAGAAAACCTTGCCTACAGAAGCCCATAAGTAGTTTTACAAAACACATTTCAGTTACAAATTTGACACCTCCATTGAGGTCAAACTTGTATAATAAAACGTAAGCCAGATAATTCAAAAAAAGCAATAACCTGTTTATGAAAAATATCTGTATTAAAAGGAATACAACAGTCTCAAAGTCAGATCATAAGAGACATTCAATAGAAAGTGAAAAGCCATCAATTTTCTTCCATTTTCCATGAACAGCACACTTCAATTTTATGAAACGTATTTGACATATAGATCCAAACATTAACACACCCCAAACGAGGAAGACTACTACTTTGGCTTGGGTGAGGGGGTTGTGGGGGAAGCGTCAGCTTTTACCTGACTCCCTGGAAAATGCGTTTATTTCTTACTAACAATTATAAAAGAAATATTTCCTAGAAAAATCAGTAGATTTGACTGAAACACTCAACTTACTATTGCAACTTAAAATACTAGAACTACTCAACTACTGTTGAGTTAGCAAACTTGAGTTACTAAAAGTAACTGCTATACAAAGCTTTATAGACTTATTACAATTTATTTGCAGAGTAAGATGACCCCTAATTCACTCACAAAGTACAAAAACTTTGTTCAACTAAATATTTACACACGTTCTGCAGCTCATGAGCAGCAACCATGGTTGCAAAGATAATACAGTCAATGAAACAGTAAGATATTTGAGTGACTTCTGGCACAACCAACCACAGGAACTGTGAGAACCCTCATGATTTTTCACAAACGCATTTAAAGTGTAGTTTGATTGGTATAATAAAGCTCTGAGATATGAAATACTAAACTTAAACACAACATTCCCTATCTGGACAAACTTAAGGTATGTCTTTGGTCAACATTTGCACAATTTGTGATGCAGTTGAAATTGGCTCTCAGATATTGTATTTACCTGTGCTAGCTTCCTCTGCTATATGGATATCTTCAGCTTGTACAGCTTGGTCCAACATCTCAACAAAATGTTCTTGAATTTCTCCAGTGGCCTCATCACGAAACTTATAATCGCTGAGCATCACACTGGATCCAGCAACAGGGACAAATAGTCTCTGAGGTAAAACACGATATTCCCTCTGAAAATCTAGAAGGGGAAGGAAAAAAAATACAATCTAAACGAAGTCCTTGCTGGTTACAATAAGATTTCTCATTCATCTCTGCCCTCAAAGTTATTCCAAAAGAACTGCTCAAGGTTTTCCATGTAACAGACAATTTTAGACATGGCTTGTTTATTTGCTACCATTGCATGAAAGTTTTGGCTGTCATGATACAGATTTATGCTTTTACAGTACTCTCTCCAAAAGCAGAGACCTCCAAAGCAGACCATGAGATGTTCACTACATCTTTTATCATGTTTAGAACAACTGGCAAAAACTGCAGATAAGAGTGCACACTAAAAACCCATTATTTCAGCACCAGAGAGAACTGCAATCAGTGGGCTGTTTTATGCCACATTTAGGACTATGGACTATGAGTGCCACCTAGAGAGGAAAATAAAAACTGCATGCATTTGAAGATACCAGCATCACGACTGGATGACTAGTTAAAAGCAATTATTTAGAAGGCTTTTTTATTACCCCATATACTTAAAATACAGGGCAATACCGTATTATTATTACAGGGTAATGCTGTATAATATACTTAAAATATCATAAAAATGCATTATCCTAAAGCAAACGATAGTCCTGCAGACGAATTGTTCTTTATACAATCACCCTGCTCCCATCTCCTTTTTTTTTTTCTTTTTCTATTTTTACCAAAATCACCACAAAAGATCTGACTTTCCAAAAGCTTTCCTTTACAGAAGGCACGAAAACTGACTTTTCATTTGATTATACACACACACACTCCTGTAGCTTCCCCTTAATTTTTTAATATGATCAAGGTTAAGTTTTATTTTCATAAAATCAGTTTGCATTGCATCCTAGCCTTTGTAAATCCAAGTTAAAGCAGTCCAGCAATTCATGATGCTGAAAATTATGTATGATCTATTTAAACGACACCAGGCATGTAAAACGAAATGTGATGAAGAGAAATCAGGAGACAACAGCTTAAATTTCCATACAGCTGGTTAGAAAAACAGATTGTTCATGCCAGTCACATACACAATGCTGTATCTAATGAACATGAATTACTAGCCTGCAGAATTTGTCAACAAGCATTCACAATACAGCTGACAATTCAAAGCTCTGTTCAACTGACTCTTATACTCTTGCTAAGTTTTAGCAGTTCTTTAATTTGAAGGTCTACAGAAACACTACTACACTGATTTTTTTTGATAAGCGTTAAGTTACATGCCAAAATTCTGCAGCAAGATTTTAATTACAAGAAAGTCACAGTCAGTGAGCAATAAAGTAAGAGTACACTTTGCGGTCAGAATTTTGAACAAAAAGTTGTTATGAAAACTGTGATACCAAGGAACCTATTTGAACTTGACTAGACTTGGCATGAACCAAAAAGGGCATGACTGAAACCCAAAACTGTGATATTTGCTTGTTGTCCTACTGTACAGTGAGATTTCAGTACACTAGCAAAATTTCCCGAAAGAAGCACAATATACTGCATATAGAAAAACTTGCTTTCTCTTCAAGTTCCTACTTTTTTTGTCAAGTCCTTCATTTATAATGAGATCTTCAAACAATATCTCACAACGATCACTCAGGGTATTTATTATGTCTCTTTTCAAAGCCTGTAAAGACAAAGCAAGAACATAAGCAGTTTAAAAAACATCCAAAGTGCTTTTGATTACTACAAGAACGAAAGTATCCTTCGTAGGCTAAACCCATTTTCAAAGAATATTAAAAAGGAAACAAAATAAGAACTAAAAACAACGAAGTGACAAAAGTTAGCATCAAAAGCATTAAGAACAAGAACAAAAAATAGTAGAGGAAATATTCACTATTATTAGAGTAGCAATTGGCAACATCTGGACATTTTAGGAAAATTCACAAAGCACTGACTCAGTAAGGTACAAAATCTCTTTAAAAATGCCTTATGTACAAAAGCATAGTTTGCAGGATTTTATTAATTTTAAAGTCATTTGGAAGCCTCATAACTTTGATTTTTTTTATAAATATTCAACAGATACTGCCTTCTACTTAAGGTTATTATCTGCTAGAAGTAAAAAAAAGGAAGAGAAGATATACACACAAAAGTGAATTCTAAAACAATCCGTAAGTTCCAAGGCAGAGAATATTTAGACTCCTGTTTATATCATGTCATTCTGAAAACTAGCATGACAACTTTGTTTTCCAAAAAGTCTCCAATGACAACTTTACCTGAATAGCCTCTTTAACTTTTGGCTTGTTGTTATGGATGTAGGCTCTGCATTTCACAGCACCTTTGAGATTTATGGAACCACTGCAGACCTGGACCGTAGCTGTTGACCTACGGCTTGAACCCTGGGACTGAAAAACAGGCAAGTTTCAGTTTATCTTGTTTGCTAGGTGCTAACAGCATGGCTAGCAAACATTAAAAGCTTATAGCATATGTTAAGATGTTTACATATAACTTCATATACGCACACTTTTGATTTTTAGCTTTGTTAGTTAAGATAGAAAATTTCTTATTATGTAAACCACATTTTTCCAGACACTTCATTTCTATGATTTAAATATTTCTGTCTGCAGAACTTATGAAATTCTTCCATGACTGGTTGCCAATATTAGTATTACTATCTGGCATCTATCCTTGAAGTTCATATACTTAGTACATAACGCATAAACCTAGAGTATCTTCAAAGTCATTCAGCAACAAATAAGTTCTAAATTTGGTCATATTAAGCATTAATTACCCAAATGAAATTTGGGTATGAGAATATATGCAATGCTCCAGGAAATCTCAAAACGTGGGGATTTTTCTGCAGCAGAGACAAGAGATTCACAGACCTAACTAGGATTCCAATATGAAAATGACATTTTCAAGAGTTAACATGAAAAGAAAGTAACATCCTTGTTTTAAGGCTTAAGAGAACTAATGGTTGGCATCATCTTAAAACAAAAGGAAAATAGGGACAACTTCTGCATGGAACACACAAACTTCTTAAGGTAAAAAGTTTTCCTTTCATGTGAGGCAATTAACTATGTGGAGATTGCAGTTACAACCTACCAAACTAAGATGACCCACATTGTACAGAAAGCCTAGAAACTAAAGCCTAGACACATTTTGACTTTGGAACCTAGACTGGAACACTTCGGTTCAGAGGTTGCACCTCCATTACCTCCCGTGCTATTACAGAAAACTCCTGACACAGACCTGAAGGCCCTGGATTATGATTCAGCCTACAGGATCTGTATCTTAGACCAAAACTAGGGACTGTGCTTCTAATGAAGGTATCCAGGTCAGTGGATACCCGGCCATTACACATCAAGACAGAGACTTCGTAAACTTGACCATCAAGATTGACTGAAATCAACATACACAGGTTCTGAGCCTTACAGTCCAATTAAGTAGTTAAATCTACCCTATCCTTTAAGATTATGCAGACAGGAAGCACGTGGAACTGTCCACAATCAGTTTCAGAGTCAATATCCAGGGGGAAAACTCTTAAAGTAAACTGGATTTCTAGACAGTATTTTAAACATTGTTATTTTCTTATTCTATTGTAAACTAACTTCTATGTTCGCTGTTTAAAAACCACAAAATACTTACCAATTGTGTAAGAACTTTGACATCAGAAAACTGAGTGCTGGACTGAGTACTTCCTCTTAACTTTTTCTAAGAGAAAATAAAGGTGACATATGAAAGATGAAAGCCTGCTCAAATCCATCCTGTCAAGGTATTTTACAGTCTCCCTCCCTAAGGTTTAAAATGTGTCCGTATTTAAGGTTTAAGATATGGAAGGCATCCATGAGAATAAGGAATAACAGTAAAAAATAGAGATTTATGTAGCAATCAAACGTTTAATCCCAATTTGGGCTCTTCAATGAAGCACAATTAATAGAGCCAATTAGACCAACAGATATTGCACAGAAGACCTTCAGTGCCTCTTATCAGGCTGCAGGTTCTGAACTGCACATCTATTACTCACCAGACCTTCTAGTAGTTCTGTATCATTATCTTTGACTTGTCCATTGATCAGAAACACACTGTCCTCTATCTGTTTTGACCACCGATTTAATCCATTCTTAAACAAAAAGACAAAAATCTCATAAAAGATACATAATTTCACTAGAGAGGATAAACAATATCAGACAGAAAACTACAGAAATATGTTTCAATAATTACTCCAACAGGTTTTAGAAGTCTCTGAAAAATCTGTATGGAACAATAGTTGAAGGATGGGGCCCATCAAGCCAATTTGTATTGAAAGCTTTCTATACTCTTCTTATAACCTGACATGACTTTTTTCAAAGGGGAAGCAGAATTTCACAACTGCAGCTGGGATCACCATGACAAATATTAATTATTTGGAGCACAGGAAACTCACAACATTGAGCACAACAGAAGGAAAGCTCTCAATATATTTAAATACAGACCATGTTTCACTAGCTTCATACAAGATTTATAAAATGAACAGCTGTCACACTCTGCTAGTCCTATTCCTGCACTCATAATGTATATTCAAAAATCTTAGCTTTTGTTTCAACAGAATTTCTCAATTTCAACAAGAGAAAAACAGAAGCACAGAATAAGCACAAGACTAACACTGTTGCAGCTGGTTGGTTACCTTAGTATTCTTCTCCAAGTCATGGTTAGGTGAAGTAGCAAGAAGTGGAATGTGAATATTAACGTTCACTGTGCAATCCAAAGCTAGCCAGCAAGCAGACAGAGCACTCTGGTATTTCCAATCTGCTGGTTTAGCTGAACTCTAGAAGAAAGAAGAAGCAAGAAAGTGTCCCAATATAACACACTTTCACAGGAACGTTTTTGAATCATTCAGGCAGCACAAGCTCACCTTTGGATCTTGTACATCATAAGTCCGACAAACTATTCTTTGGTACTTAAAGAAAAAGATTGGATAAAAAGCAAAAAAAAATCATTTTGTAATTATCTTCTCCCTTATATTAACTATTTTTGAGCTAATTTAAGCTCTGAAGAAAGCTCTCACCTTTCATTAAGTGTAAAAAAGTGGAAAATATTTGGCTGTAAACTCCAACTATCATAGTGATGATGTCTCATCTTCTACAGATACATTAAGATCCATAGGTATGCACAGCAAGAACTACCATTGCACTTATCTCCTAGTTTCTCACCCTTCTAAGAAAAGCCTTACTTTTTCTCCCTGTATTTCCCCATTCCCTACAGAGAAATTTCTTTCTTCTGTTACACTAGCACAGATCTCGCATACCTGCAACTTTCCCAATTCCATGACTATCACTGGTAGCTGCAAGCTCAAGAAGTTATCCAGTATTTGAGATGCTTTCCTTATTTTTAGGCAAATCAAAGCAACTCAGTAAGACATAGTGAAAAGCTACCACAATTGTGGAGAAATAAGAGGACCCATGGTCTATTTACACCTATACAAAAAATTCCCTAATTCCAACTTACTGATTTATGCCTATGTGAAATCAAACAACTTCCTCCTCCCCACCTCATCTACCAGCCCAAAACTTTGGTTTGTATCCCAATACTGAAGAAAGAAGAAAGAACAGCTCTATCTGTCTACTGATCATGAAAGACTGCTCATATACATTTTCATCCAACATCTTCTACATCTAGCAGTTACTGCCAAATGTGATACAGCCATTCATTTTAATGCACAGAAAACTCATTTCTAACACAGCCTTCTTTTGAAAAGTAATTAGAGAAACTAGATGGAGATAGCAGCCCAAACCAATCAAGTTTCTTGAAAAAAAGGATACTTCTTTGTAGTAGAACAAACTTGAAGAGCTGCTCTGTCTGAGATATCATCCTCACCAGCTTTCCAAAGGCGCCTTCTCATTACAGACTTTTCCACTGAAAAGATGAGCTAAAGATGAAAAAAATATTACGGAATTTTCTGTACAAATGATGTGCTATAATTCTTCAAGAACAACCTTGTCCAGAAGTTCTAAAGCTGAACAATGAACTGGTAATAGACCTTATATCTTAAAAAGCCAATTAAAGAAATTCTTAACATATATTCCAAGGCAAGTACTCTAAAACAAAGTTCCCTGGGCAACATTAATTCAGTTTCCTTTCACTGGTGGCCAGCGATAGGACGAGGGGTAATGGCCACAAGCTGAAGCACAAGAAGTTCCGTCTCCAGGTGAGGAGCAACTTCTTTACTGTTAGGGTGACAGAGCAGTGGAACAGGCTGCCCAGGGAGGTTGTGGAGTCTCCTACTCTGGAGGTCTTCAAAACCCGCCTGGATGCCACCCTGTGCCACATGCTCTAGGTGTGCCTGCTTGAGCAGGAAGGTTGACTAGATGATCTGTAGAGGTCCCTTCCAACCTTAAATATTCTGTGAATCTGTACACTCAAGCAAAAGAAACAACATTCAGCCTGTGCATTTCAAGTGGCATTCTTTAGGAAATATTGCAGCTTTATGCTTAAAACTTGAGAATCTGGAAAGATAGGTGTGAAAAAGTTCAGAAAAATAGGAACAAATTTAAATTGCACAACTGCTGACTACTTGAACGCTGTTCATCTTTTGTTGTTGACTACTAGCTTCAGCCACAACCGAGACTTGATTATACCGCCCTAATAACACATCTTAGCACTGAAATTGAATTCTGGGCCTAAGGCTTTGAAGAGTTTGCATATTGAAATTACTATGCTTAGGCTTAGCTCCTGAAATAGATAAAAAAGAACCTATACCAACAGAATAGAAACTTAAAAACAAAAACACTACCATATGGCAGATTTCACAATATCAAAAATGCATTTTAATCCTATCAGACAACAGAATGCTCAAAATATTTTTTATATGTAATCGTAAGCATTTAAGGTAAACAGTGTTCTAGAATAGAATCAAGAAAACAAAACCAAACACCTCTTGTTATTCTAAAACCACTGATCTAAACAATTCAGTCAATCAAAAAGTTATAATGCTTCAGCAATCATTAACAGTTCTACCTCAAGACTTAGTAGAAGCAGCATGATTTTCCTTAAGGCACAGTATTACATTTCTAGTAAAACTATAATGAGATCCTCAAGAAAATACTACTGCAGAAGCAAACACCAGAGAAACAGAAAGTTTGCTAATCCATGCTGTGGTACAGTCCCAAAAGACACCCATTACTGAAGTTTCAATGGGCCTCAGAACTATAAAAATCATTCCAGAACATTTCTGTTAGTTTAATTCTAAAGCCAAACAAGCATATAAAAAAGAAAACAATAATAGAAAACCACAGTTAGCCATAAAAAAAATCAATTTCTTTACTCCAGAAAGCCTTTGCTTACCTTGCGCAAAACGTTTTGACTGTCTTTTGCCAGTTCTGGAGCTGCAATAATAAAGACACCAAGAACTAACAAGCCCCCAGGAAGCATTCTGGAAACCTTGAAAACAGAAATGCACACATGCTAGTAGGAATCAGAGATCTGAGAATTGTGTGATACACCATGACTTTCCCATAAAAGAATTATGCATGCAGAACAGTAAGTATGAGTGTTTTCCACTGGTACATTTCTTATGTCCCATTTTCTGGTACAAGAAATAGAGGAAGGGAATATCTTGCAACTTTTATCTCTTAAGCCTATTAAGTCCCCTGTTTCATCATAAACTTATAAAACAGTAAATACCAATACTTTGGTTTAATTACTCAGAGAATGCCTTGGAAGGTTCCTTTGCTTTGAGGATAATGCTTTACATTACAGTCTCATTACAGAAGGGATGACAAACATTGTATCTCTCATTTAATTTCTGATCTTCCCACCGCCTTCATTAGCTCGTACTGCCATACCTGGCTGGCATGGGCAGTTACCCACTCTTCATCAATGGACGTCAGCTTGGAAGGAATTATGGTGCTTTCGTTTTGCTCTTCCTTTGGAGGGGTTCGAACCGCCCGAATCACATAGTCTCTTTGAGAGGAACACTACAGAAAACACCAATATAAACATAGATGATAGAAGGTTGATTTCAAGTTTGAAATAGTACATAGTATAGATGAACTGTAAGGACTGTTTAACAGAACACATAGTTGAAATCTATTACCAAATATAGTAACAACAATCTCTTATTTCCCTTGCTTTAAAGGCCAAAAATGCCTCCCTTTCTTTGCCTTAAAGTACTGTTGAAGGAAAGTGGAATCTTTAAAATGTTTATTTCAACTTCTTGTTTCACATACTTTTAAAGAAGACTGTAGAAGGATTTCTAATAATGAAGTTCTATTTTGCAGAAGTCCTCTCTCGTGAGAGTTCTCTTCTTCTGCTTTACACAAGCTAGGCGTGATGCTCACAGGCTTAACCCAAATGATAAAAGCCAGTGGAGCTGCCTCCTAGGAACAAAGATGGCAAGGAATTCTTCACAACACAAACTTACCTGTCCTATTAGCAGGCCTGTGACATAAGGCTTTTGTTTTGCACTGAGGTCTGAGAGATATTTCCCAACAGCCTCCTCCACAAAGTAAGTTCTACCCATTATTGCAGGCTTAAAAACTGTAGCTTCAACCTATAAAGGAAAAAAAAAATACAATGTTAAAGAATGTACATGTGCTACAGTGACTACACAAAAAATGAAGTCTTAGGAAAAAGGGACTAAGCATATGTTTTTAACTGCCATCAAACATTCAATTAGTTAAGTAGATTAAAAACCTGAAGATTTTCATAAAGAAATGAAAATAAGGTTATTCTATAGTATAAAAAAGGTTCTTTTAGAGCTGTATTTGAATAAAAGGGTGGAACAGCTGCCAACAAAAGGAAGTATCAAGTCAAACATGCCAACAGCAAGAAAAACAACACTTCCAAGCAAGATTTTTTTGCTACATCACCTTTCAGCAGCAACCTGCGAGTGAACCGTTCATTTTCCGCGTTGGGCTTCCTCCTCGATAGCCGTGCTATACACCCCACACCTGCCCCTCCACGCCAAGCAGCGAGCTTCCCCCTCCCAAGAGCCGCCTTCAGGGCCCCCTGCAAGCACCACACAACCCGAACGAAGAGAAGACAACGTTTGCTTCCCCCAAAACGCTTTCCCGCCTTTGATTTAAGGCTTCAGCAACGATTAACGGGCGGAACCGGCAGGCCCGGCGCCGCCGCGCCCCACCCGCACCTGCGCCGGCCCCGTAACGGCCGCAACGGCCGCGCGGGAGGCGGTGCCGGCGCCACGTCACCAGCGCGCGCTGCTCCCACCGCCCCACACAGGGCTCCGAGCGCGGGAAACGGGCGCGCGGGGCGGCGTCACGCCAACGCCGCCACGCTTCGTGTGGCGGAAGCACCAGCTTTCTTGCACCGCAGCTCCCAGGCGCGCAAAATATCTTAGAAAGGCATCGAGTTCTGCCTAGAACCCCCCCGGAGCGCCTTTCTTTCCTTGGAGTCCCCTCCGACACGCCAGCAGGCCCTAAAAGCCCTTCTCAAAATGGCGAAAGCAGCGTCCCGCCCGCAGCCCAGCCAACTACGTAGCCCGCAACTTCGCCAGACCTGCGCGCGCACGCGCGGCGCGGCGGCGGGCGGGCGCGGCGGCCTGCAAGATGGCGGCGGTGCTGCAGCAGGTGCTGGAGCGCGGCGAGCTGGGCAAGCTGCCCCGCGCCGTGCAGGCCAAGCTCGAGCGCTTCCTGGGCGACCAGCAGAGCGAGATCGACGGGCTCCGCGCCCGCCACGAGCGCTTCAAGGTGGACAGCGGTGAGTGGCGGGGGGCCGCGCCGGCGCTGGTCGGGGTCGGCGGGCCCGTCCCTTTCGTGGCCCGCGTGCTGGAGGGGGGATCCGCTTTGGGGCTCGGAGGTGCTGTTAAAAAGCGTGGGAGTGCGGGAAAATTCCTCAGGGATTTTATAGAAGCCGCCCGTGCCTCGTAGGCAGCTTGGGTCCGGGTTTATCGAGCGTTTCCCAGCGCAGCTCCATAACGCAGTTACTCGTTCATTATAAAATAACAAAATGCACGAGTCCTGCCTCAGAAGTGCTTGTTAAACCCCTTCCGCGACACCTAGGCTTGCCTGGTCGTGGCTATATCGGTATGGAAATACTCTACAAGAAATGTTAGGTTGGTGTAACCGAGCCCGCCCTGTTCAGCTGCACTAATAGAACTGACTCGAGCCAAATCAAAAACACCACAGCTAAGTCAAATTTTTATATTATGGTACATATTCACAAAGACACATTTTTTTTTTAGTTCTAATAATGCATTTTAAGCAGTGTTAATCTAACGTAGAAATCCCTCTCTTTGGTTTCCAAAAGCATATCATTTATTCTTTCAGTTCTTCTGTAGTATTACTGTTTTACTGTATTGCCTTGGTAAGTGCTGTTCTTTAACAGAGTTGCTAATGAGCAGGATTCTCTGTCATTTCTCGTGAGAGAGGAGGGAAGGTGTTTATTAAGCACAATCACATTGCATTGCTTTGCAGAGCAACAGTACTTTGAAGTAGAAAAGCGCCTGGCTCAGAGTGAGGAGAGGCTGGTAAATGAGACACAGGAATGTCAGACTCTCCGTGAGGAGCTTAAAAAACTTAGTAAGTATAAATGCACATTCTTAAAATCAGACAGCTATTTTTTATTATTATTATTTTGTAATTCAGTGTTATATTGAAGTGCTTAAAGCTTGAAGTAGAAATTTAAAATCACTTCATGATTGTTATTTCATACTTGTTATTTCTGCAAATAAAGTCTTGTGTTTTTTCATTCAAAGTTTGTGGGGAGTTTAAATTTCGTTTAATAAGAAAAAACCACAAAAGTTGTGTTTCTTTGGAATAATAGTAAAATAATGCTATATATTGATATATTGCGAATAAACACATCTGCTCTCAATGGCTCCTTTAATTTGCTACAGTACTGTTCATACCACCTAATCCATTTATTGGGTTTTTGTTTCGTGAGATCTAGAATTCTTCCCTCTCTTCATTGCTCGTGAGAGAAACAACTTGATTGCATCTGGAGCATGAGTGCTATTAAAATGGAGCTTCCTCACTGTTATTTCTTTTCATTCAACAGATGAGCAGTTGAAGTCTGTGAATGAGAAAAATAAAGAACTTGAAGCTGCTCAGGACAGAAACACAGCCATACAGGTACAGGAGGAAGTAGGCTCTAAGTTCAAATACTGGCTAACCTGTCTGATTGTGACAAAGAATAAAATGAAATTCCCATTTGGATTGTTGCTACATGAGTACCTGAGTTGCAAAAAAATGAAACTGAAACAGAAGTTTCACAATGGTTTAGGAAAATAAAGTTTAGATTTACTGAAAGCTTTGGACAGGGAAACTTGAAGCCAGTGGGAGTGGCGTGTTCAAACTGAATGTTCTAAATGTAATGGAAGCAATGAAAGGAGCTGCGCTTTTATACTCAACTCGAGCTGATTCCATTTGCTGCTGTTGAACCATCTTATATCAATTTTCAGCTGCTGTATTTGGCTGGAATAGCCTGCTGTTATTTAACACACATTTCTGTAATGATAAACATAAATAATGGCTATAAACTGTCAAAGAGAACTAATCACCTTCCTTCAGTGCTTTTCTGCATTTTTTTTCAGAGCCGTCTAACTAGAGAAAAAGAAGAACTGGAAGCTGAAAAGAGAGATCTGGTTCGAACAAGTGAAAGACGATCTCAGGAAGTTGAACATTTAAATGGTAGGGTCAATAATATATTAACAAAAAATTTCACAGCCTTATATTAAGCAAAAGATTTCCTAGAAGAGCTAGGTGCAGTATCCAGTTTGTGTAGGCAGTGCCTGATGGTGGACTAGCAGAAAGAGGGATGTAGTTTAGGGCAGAGAAGTAGGTAGAAAGCTATGTGCAAGTCATAAAGTGCAGTGTTTTGATAAACAGTGCTTACCTTGGAGACAGAAAATTATACAAAGTTGTCTTCATTTTTACATTATTACTTAAACCTAGCCAATAGGTAAAATTTATAGTTTTGCTGTTGGTTTGTTTATATTGGTATCTCTCCTGCTTTCCTCAGAGGATGTTAAGCGTCTAAATGAAAAACTTACAGAAGCAAACACAGAAAAGGTGAAACTTCAGCTGAAGTTAGATGAACTTCAAACATCAGATGTTTCTGTGAAGGTGAGTAGTGTTTTATATCTGTTGTGCTTGTTAACATGATGATGCTATCAAAAATAATTATTTACATATCAGGTGATCATTATTTTGTCATTGGTAACTTTAAAGTAGGTCAGACCACTTAAATGGTTATCTTGTTATTTATGACAAAAGGTCTTATTATAAAAGTAATGGCAGTAATTTTACTTTTGGTCTGAGCTTAGTACATAGGTTATTTTGTATGGAATTGATAAAATTAATTGTGGAAATTTATTTTTAGTATCGTGAAAAAAGGTTGGAACAAGAAAAAGATCTACTGCAGAATCAAAACACTTGGCTGAACACAGAGTTGAAAGCCAAAACAGATGAACTCCTACATACTGCCAGAGAAAAAGGCAATGAGATCTTGGAGCTTAAATGTAATTTGGAGAACAAGAAAGAGGAGGTAATGGAGTTCCTGATTGTTCAGACTATTTTGTATCAATAATACCATGATTAATTGAATAATTGAGTTAATGCAATTACTGTAATGCTCAGCTTAAGGGAGAAAAATCTGTGTGTGTTTTACAAATACTTAGGAGTTGTGCTTTCTTTTAGGTTGTGATTTGCGAAGAATGCACATAGTTACCATTATCTAAAATAGAATAGTTTTTAATGATAAATGATATATACATTTATCTCATTTTAATTATAAACTATAAACCAGAAAACTTTTGAGTTGCTGATAACCCAAGGATGTAATGGTAAAATGCTGTTAAAATGTACAGAAGTACATTTTTTAATAGGGAGTGGGCAACAGAGCCTGATTTAGCACTCTTTAGATTTTACGTGTGATAGTATTTTTGTTTTCCTGCAGGTTGAGGTAACTAAACCTGCTTTTGTTTAGGTACCTCAGTGGTTGTTTTTACAATTGTTGGAATAGTCTCCTCTCATTTGAGAGCTCCCAGCAAGAGAGGTTATTTGCATATATATAATTTGAACTATTTGGGAAATCTCCTTGTTCAATTTAGCTGCATGCAAAGGGAGCAAAGAATGTTAGAAGTGTAATCTTTTTGCTCTTTTTGTTTTGCTGTTTGCTTGTTTGTCATCTTAAGGTAGAAAACAGTGAAGTACGTGTTTTCCAAAGTTTTGAATTCTCAAGACAAATTTGTACGTTACTCTTGTTTACTATTTGAACAGGTTTCCAGAATGGAAGAACAGGTAAACAGCTTAAAGCAATCAAATGAAAATCTTCAGAAACGTGTGGAAGACCTTTTGAGTAAATTGAAGGAGGTAAGATAATGTGAAGTGTGTATATGAGAGAATGACAGTCACTCTGTTGCTTCTACAGCTAAAAAAAAGTGAAATGGAAATATCTGAATGCTTCCCTGTTCCACCTCTTCTTTAATTCCCTAGGCGAAAGAACAGCAAGCTAGTATGGAGGAAAGGTTCCACAATGAGCTGAACGCCCACATTAAATTATCCAATTTGTATAAGGTAAGTTTAGTGGATGGTGTGTGTTGTATTAGTATGTTGTATTATTCTGGGATCTGAATTTCAAGCTTAATTGTTTTTGTATCTTCATTTGGGTAACTGGTATGACCAGGTATTGAAATGAACACTGCAAGTGTCAGGGATCTGATAAGTGACTGAATGTCATGTGTCACCTGAAATGAGCATAACTGGAACAAATTCTTACTATTGTGTCAGCTCAGGGAGTGAAAACCTTTTGCTGTAGTTTACTAGGACCAAACCTGCTGAAGAGGAGAATTGAATATTCTTTAGTTTATAAATATATATTATACTCAGCTAGCATTATGTGGGGTAGAATCCTTCAATTCTAAATTCATGTTTTGTATAAATGTGAATAGAGCTTCCTTCAGTTAAGCGTTGGTTTGAAGGGGCTTAGAGAT